GGAACTGTGAGACGATACGTTTCTGCTAAGAGACCCAGTTTGTGGTACTTTATTGCAGCAGCCATAGCAAACTAATATAAGTCCCAATATTTTACTTATTTAAAAAATATAAACCTAGAAAAATTCAGCATTTGAAATTTTACTATTTCTTTATTTAAGAGGTTGGGAACCAGTTCTCTGGAAGGAATCGTAGAATGTGTGGTTATAGAATTCTTAGGTTCTTGGTGACTCAGACTTTAGCTAGTTACTAGTCAGTCCAGTTTACAAAGCAGTTTATCATGAGCCCAGATCAGCAGCTGGAGTTTCAAGAGTGTGCATTTTCCTTCTATGTATGGTAGTAGAGGGGGAAGAGTCTTTCTAGTCACCTGAGAGGTGTTACCTAGATGTATTTTGTGTAAACAGATTCAAGCCTCTTACCTAATGCACACATTAGCACACTCTACCCAAGCTGCAGGAGCCAAATAGATTTGGATAGGGAAGAATATTTTGGTTTCATTTGGGTGAGAACTGCTCCTGTGAATTGCATTTTACATGCCTGTTTCTGACTTGGTAGGCGACCTTACTATCAGTGGATGAAGTGATGTGCCCTGTTCCTCCCTTGTACATAGGATTTTTGCAGCATAAAAGTGCTTAACTCTGGGCTAAGCTTTGTTAGAAGACCAGGAGCTTAACTGAGCTCTTTAGAAGAGAAGAAAAGGAAAAGTGTTTGAACAAGTGCGTGTTCATGCTAGGTTGGATTACATCTCTACAATTTACCTGTCAACAAAAGGGAAAGGGAAGGCTGTACTTTGCTTTGGACATTTTATGTATTTTCTCTATTATGTGTGAAGTGTATTTGTGTGAGTTACAGTATAATTTTTTTTCTTGTTTCTTTTTTTTAGTGACAGGGTTTTGCTATGTTGCCCAGGCCGAAGTCGGTAGCTATTCACAGATGTGATTATGGCACACTACAGCCTTGAACTCCTAGGCTCAAGCCATCCATCTATTTCAGCCTTCCAGGTAGCTGGGACTAAAGGCACATGCCACCTGTGCCTGAGTTCTATAGTATAATTTTTGAACTTCCTCCCAGTTTCTGTTTTAAAATTTGTTTTAGTGTTTGAACAGCCAGTTACTTTTCTAGCTAGCTTCCTCTTTTCTGAAACAGGAAGAAACATTTTGAAATAAAACGATCCAAATGTGTTTTGGGGTTATTAACCATAAATTTCAGAACAGAGCATTCTTGAGGGCAAGGATATTTAGTATCTATGATACATATTTAATTTAGGTAATTAAATCCTTATGATAGAAGTAATATCTAACCTGTGTGTAGCTCTGTAAACATTAATTTTGAAAGACTGAGGCTGCTTAGTTATAATAAAACCATAAATAATATTTTAAATATAGCAGGCTTATTTAAGGAAAATACCAAGGTGCCTGGCATTATTATCTATGAGCAGGAACTTTTTCTTACATTTAAGAAGATAGCTTGAACGTGGGAGGCAGAGATTACAGTGAGCCAAGATTAATAGAGAAACCTGGTAGACACTACCTTAATACTAAGTGAGCAAAATTAAGCCAACCACAGAGGCATGCACCTGCAGTCCCGGCTATTTGGGAGGCAAATGTGGGAGGATCACTTGAGCTCGGGAGTTTGAGTCCAGCCTAGGCAGCAGAGCAAGATCCTGTCTCAATAAATAATATGAATGTAAATATATATTAAAAATTAATATCTCTAGCAGTGGGGGAACAGATAGATATTTTAGACCCCCCCCTGACATATTTGAAAGGACATAATATTATTTCTTTAGTATTTCTACCAAAAAGGCAAACTGAATCTAATTATAAGGAAATACACAAACCCAGATGGGTGGACATTCTACAAAACAGATGACCTGTACTCTTCAAAAGTGTCAAGATTGTGAAAGACAAAGATCAAAGAACTTCTTAAAGGAGATGAAACTGTTTCAAGTCAAAGGGTTTATTAAGAAACATGATATTTACTAAATGAAACCTACAACCAAAAAAATTTTTTTTAACTTTTTAAAGGGACATTAGTCAGGTTTGTCAAAGATCAGATGGTTGTAGTTGTGTGGTGTTCCTTCTAAGGCCTCTGTTCTGTTCCATTGGTTTATATCCCTGTTTTGGTACCAGTACTATGCTGTTTTGATTATAGTAGTCTTGTAATATAGTTTGAAGTCAGGTAGCATGATGCCTCCAGCTTTTTTTTTTTTTTTTTTTTTTTTTTTGCTTAGGATTGTCTTGGCTATGTGGGCTCTCTTTTGGTTCCATATGAAGTTTAAGGTGGTTTTTTCCAGTTCTGTGAAGAAAGTCATTGGTAGCTTAATGGGGATAACATTGAATCTATAAATTGTTTTGGGCAGTGTGGCCATTTTCATGATATTGATTCTTCCTATTCATGAGCGTGGAATGTTTCTCCATCTGTTTGTGTTCTCTCTTATTTCCGTGAGCAGTGGTTTGTAGTTCTCCTTGAAGAGGTCCTTCACATCTCTTGTTAGTTGTATTCCTAGGTATTTTATTCTCTTTGTAGCAATTGTGAATGGCAGTTCACTTATGATTTGGCTGTTTGTCTATTACTGGTGTATAAGAATACTTGCGATTTTACAGGGACCTGGATGAAACTGGACTTTCATCCTGAGACTTTGCTGAAGTTGCTTATCAGCTTAAGGAGATTTTGGGCTGAGACGATGGGGCTTTCTAAATAAACAATCATGTCATCTGCAGACAGGAACAATTTAGCATCCTCTCTTCCTATTCAAATACGCTTTATTTCGGAAAGCATTCCCTAGATAATAAATGGTGTTGGAAAAACTGGCTAGCCATATGCAAAAGCTGAAACTGGATCCCTTCCTTACACCTTATATAAAAATTAACTCTAGATGGATTAAAGATTTAACCATGAGACCTAACACCATAAAAGTCTAGAAGAAAACCTAGGCAGTACCATCCAGGACATAGGCACGGGCAAGGACTTCATATTAAAACACCAAAAGCAGTGGCAACAAAAGCCAAAATAGACAAATGAGATCTATTAAACTAAAGAGCTCCTGCACAGCTAAAGAAACTATCCTTAGAGTGAACCGGCAACCAACAGAAAAAATTTTTGCAGTCTACCCATCTGACAAAAGGCTAATATCCAGAGTCTACAAAGAACTTAAACAAATTTACAAGAAAAAAAAAAGTGGTCGAAGGATATGAACAGACACTTTTCAAAAGAAGACATTTATGCAGCCAACAAACATATGAAAAAAAGCTTGTCATCACTGGTCATTAGATAAATGCAAATCAAAACCACAATGAGATACAACCTCACGCCAGTTAGAATGGCGGTCATTAAAAAATTAGAAGACAACAGATGTTGGAGAGGATGTGGAAGGAATAAGAATACTTTTACACTGTTGGTGGGAGTGTAAATTAATTCAACCATTGTGGAAGACTGTGGAGATTCCTCAAGGATCTAGAACTAGAAATACCATTTGACCCAGCAATCCCATTACTGGGTATATACCCAAAGGATTATAAATCATTCTATTACAAAGACACATGCACGTGTATGTTTATTGCAGAACTGTTCACAATAGCAAAGACTTGGAACCAACCCAAATGCCCATCAATGATAGACTGGATAAAGAAAATATGGCACATATACACCACAGAATACTATGCAGCCATAAAATAGGATGAGTTCATGTCCTTTGCAGGGACATGGATGAAGCTGGAAACCATCATTCTCAGCAGACTGACACAAGAACAGAAAACCAGACATCACATGTTCTCACTCATAGGTGGGTGTTGAACAATGAGAACACATGGACACAGGGAGGGGAACATCACACACTGGGAGGAATAGCAGGGAGTTGGGGAGGGATAGCATTGGGAGAAATACCTAATGTAGATGACAGGGGTGATGGATGCAGCAAACCACTACCACGGCATGTGTATACCTATGTAACAAACCTGACTGATCTGCACAATGTACCCCAGAACTTAATAAATAAATAAATAAGTGGACAACAGTGGGACAACTGGAAATTTGAATAATGTCTAAAGATTAGATAATAATACTACATTAATGTTATTTTCCTGGTTTTGATAATTATGCTTTCTTTGGATTAGGTAGCATTTTTATATCTAGGAAATTAACACAAAATATTTAGGGTTAAAGAAGCAATATGTCTAATGCTTTCGAACACATCAGAAAATAATCATATAGGAAGAAAATGATAAATAGATGTGATTAAATGTTAGAACTGAGGGAATATGGGTGAAGGTTGTATGGGAATTCTTTGTGCTGTTTTTGCAACTTTTATAAGTCTGAGATGATTTCAGAATGGTAAAGGAGATAGTAGTTTAATGAGTTTTGCCATTAATTAACTGATTTTTAAGTACGTTGTTAACCCTCACTAGATTACATTACTCATCTATATGACTTACATTAAATTGTAAGGGTCCTTTCTAAAATTCTGTGATGTTATAACTAGTCATTAGTAGTAATAATTTATACTCTTAATATAGCCGTACTTGAAAAGGACAATAATGGAAAATGAAGGTTAATTTTCACACTTAAGTCAAAAGCTGTTATTAAAACATGGCCTTTGTGCCAAGTGACAATGTAATATTAAGCTCACAGATTGTTTTTTTATTTTGCCAAAGAAACTTTTACTGAGATTTTATTTAATTAACATTTTATTTGTATGTTACTTCTTGGTTTATGCTTTTGCGTTAATCATATCTTACTCATTTTTAAATTTTAATGTCATTAAAAGTACTTTTATAGGATTACCCAATGAAAACTTAGTGGTTAAAACACAGTATTAGTAATGAAGGTTTATTTGGTTGCAATAGATATAATTACCTAAAGCCTAGAAGGATTGTAGAGATACAGCCTGATGATCTAAAAACTAAATTGATTGGCTAGTATAAAATAGTTTTGAGCAGTATTTAACAAAAACAAAACTGTGTTAATCTTTTGTTTTCATTTACCTCTCCCTGACACCTCCTAGCTTGGTGATCCAGCTATTTTTCCTGCTGTAATTGTGGAACATGTTCCTGGTGCTGATATTCTCAATAGTTATGCCGGTCTAGCCTGCGTGGAAGAGCCCAATGACATGATTACTGAGAGTTCACTGGATGTTGCTGAAGAAGAAATCATAGACGACGATGATGATGACATCACCCTTACAGGTGCGTGTGTCTCCACCCAATAGGACCTTGCTGCACCACACTTTAGTCGGTGTCCTCATCCTGAGGTTGTGGGGCATAAAACACCCCTAACTTGGTTTTGAACTTTATTACTTGCAGAAGCTAGAACCCTACATGGAGAAGAAAATTACATTTTCTGTTTCATCTGCTGGACTTTGTCGTCTCCTATTTCTTCTTTCCTAAATATACTGAGATGAATGTGATAAAACAGGAGGCATGTGTAAAAGGCACCAGGTCTACTCAATTCATCAAGTCTTCACTGAGCATTTTTTTTTTTTAATAGAGATAGGGGTGTTACTGTATTGCCCAGGTAAGATGCAGGGGAATCATTGAGCCCTCACTTGAACTTCAGGGCTCAAATGATTCCCCTGCATCAGCCTCTCCCGAGTAACTGGGACAACGGTCATGCACCACCCCACTCAGCTCACCTGAATACTTTCTTATGTGCCTCCCTCCATATTCCTGTGAACAAAATGAGTTGTTTGTAGGGAAAGAGAGAGGAATATTCTTTTCTTACCACTTCCACGGGAAGCGAAATAGTGGGCCATGACCCAAATGTAGATTTCTTTTCTAGTTCAGTCAGAACTAGTAAGACATTTTAAACTCAAAGAGTAGGCCACACAATGTGAGATTGTAGTATTGATACTTTCATCACTTCGAAATTTGTACATGCTTTCTCTTTTTGTGCATTTACATTCATATATCTTGGCCAGGGATGTTGTGAATATTTGAGAAAACTATTTGGAAGCAAATATTTGCATCTTTATTCATAAAAGAAAGTTTATCTGAAATAGGTATGTTGAGGTATATCTGTAAATTTCATGGTGGCAAGTACTGGGCCTGCCTTGTTCTCAGCTTTACCTTAGCATGTAACAAATGCCTTATAACCAAATAGTAAGTCTAAAGGTAAGTTCTGGTCTATTTAGGAAGTTAATATATGATATAGTAACATTTTAAATCAAGGGAAAGGAAGAATGACTGTATCCATCTGGTGGGGGAGAAAAAAGGTTAGATTCCCACCTTAATCATGCTCCAGAACATCACGACTAAATCCCAGACTGATTTTAAATTTTAATATAACAAGTAAAGCCATCTTTTAAAACTTTAGAAGACATTTGATTTTAAAGTAACAAAGGATTTTCTAAGGATAAAAATTAAGAGAAAAGGATGGATTGACTTGGATAACAAATATTGAAAACTTGATCAATTTATGTTGAAAACCAATATAACTGAAATAAACAGGCACATGACAAATAGATAAAACTATTTACATCTTATAGGGTAGATAAAGTGTTAATATTCCTTGAGACCAGGAATTCAAGACCACCATGAGCAACATAGCAGGACCCTGTCTCTACAAAAAATTCTAAAAATTAGCTGGGCATGGTGGCCTGAGCCTGTAGTCCTAGCTACTCGGGAGGCTGAGTTTGCAGGATTGCTTGAGCCTAGGAGTTTATGGTTGCAGTGAGCTAAAATTGAGCCACTGCACCCTAGCCTGGGAGACAGGGTAAGACCTTGTCTCAAAAAAAAGCAAAACCAGGCTGGGCGCCGTGGCTCACGCCTATAATCCCAACACTTTGGGAGGCTGAGGTGGGTGGATCACAAGATCGAGACCATCCTGGTTAATATGGTGAAACCCTGTCTCTACTAAAAATACAAAAAATTAGCTGGGCATTGTGGTGTGTGCCTGAAGTCCCAGCTACTTGGGAGGCTGAGGCAGGAGAATTGCTTGAACCCAGGAGGCGGAGGTTGCAGTGAGCCAAGATCATGCCATTGCACTCCAGCCTGGGTAACAAGTTGCCTCAAAAAAAAAAAAAAAAAAAAAAGCCAAACCAAAAAGATTTAATGATTTTGTGAAATTTGAGTCTTATATTAGATTGTATTTTGAGCTGTCATCAGAATACATAATTTTTTTTTTTTTTTGTCTTGGCAAAAAAAAAATAAACTTGAATTTTATCAAGCTTCTAGATAGGACTACTCAATTACAGGGAATATAGAAAAACATGTTAACCTACACAAAAGGAATACAGTTGGCAAAGTCCAAACTATGGGAAGCCCTACATGAATACACAGCCTGATTTCTTCAACAAATAAATTGCAAAGTAAAAAAAACTAGGGAGATGAATGGCAACTCAGAAATGAAAAGAAAGTTAAGAAATGTTGTCAGTCAATCGAAATATGCAGACTTAATTTTATTTAAACAAAAAATTGTCTTGTTTGTCCTTGTACCACCCCATTTATGATTTTTTTAAAGACAATTGGAAATTTATATGCTAGTTGGCTATTTAATATTAAGGAAATATTGATATTTTTTTAGTGTAGTGTTTTTTTTTTTTTTTTTTTTTTTTTTTTTGAGACGGAGTCTTGCTGTCACCCAAGCTGGAGTGCAGTGGCGTGATCTTGGCTTATTGCAACCTCCACCTTCCAGGTCCAAGCAGTTCTCCTGTTTCAGCCTGTAGCTGGGACTATAGGTGTGTGCCACTATGCCCAGCTAATTTTTTTTTTTTTTTTTTTTTTTTTTTTTTTGAGATGGAGTTCTGCTCTTGTTACCCAGGCTGGAGTGCGATGGCGCGATCTCGGCTCACCACAACCTCCGCCTCCTGGGTTCAGGCAATTCTCCTGCCTCAACCTCCCGAGTAGCTGGGATTACAGACATGCGCCACAATGCCCAGCTAATTTTTTGTATTTTTAGTAGAGACGGGGTTTCACCATGTTGACCAGGATGGTCTCGATCTCTTGAACTCGTGATCCACCTGCCTTGGCCTCCCAAAGTGCTGGGATTACAGGCTTGAGCCACCGCGCCCGGCCCAATTTTTTTGTATTTTTAGTAGAGACGCAGTTTCGCTATGTTGACCAGGCTGGTCTCAAACTTCTGACCTCAAGCAATCCGTTTGTCTCGACCTCCCAAAATGTGGGATTACAGGCATGAGCTACTGCACCTGGCCAGGTTTAGTATAATTTTATATGTTTATAGTTTATGTAAGCTAAAATATTAAATAATTGTATTCTAGTTCTAGAGATAAGCAGTGTGTGAATTTCAGAGTAACAGATGTCTTGTGGCTAATTTAATTTTCTCTTTAAATGTGTTGCAGTTGAAGCTTCTTGTCATGATGGGGATGAAACAATTGAAACTATTGAGGCTGCTGAGGCACTCCTCAATATGGATTCTCCTGGCCCTATGCTGGATGAAAAACGAATGAGTGTGTAAAGTTACTCTTGCCGTCTTTCTCTATTAGATAGTAAAATCAAGAGATTAGAAATGATGTTATATATATTTTTTGTTACAAGCACATTTTTAAGGTATAGTAGGAATTGAGGTACCTTTGCAAAAACATACAGTTAAAAGGTGACATTTTAATTTGAGAATGAAGCCTTTAGGAACAACAAAAAAGTAGTTTATTAGTTATCAAACAGTAGATCATGCTAAATTTCTTCTCTTAACATATTGATGAAAGTATTAGAGTATCAAGGGCCCAAATAAAATTTTACTAACACATCATGGCGTAAAATTCACTGCCACATTATTGATCTGCTTTAAAATTCATGTTCTGTGGACTTTTCTGACAAGAAAGCAAGCAGATTCATAAATTATTACTAAATCAGTCCAAAATATTGAATATTTGCTATATTCACAGCAGCAATAATTAGGCAGTAACATGAGATACAAATGAGCAGATATTGTTTCCTTCCTCAAGCTTACAGTTGAATTTTGAAGACAGGTACTTAATGTCAATAACTACAAAGCCAAAACTAAAGGCCGCAAGAGTGAAAGCAAATTGCCCTAGAAGCAGTGAGTATTATAGCTGAGAATCTCAGAGACTGGCTTCATTGAAGGAGTATTCTGACCTGGGCTGTAAATGACAAATAAGCTTTTACTAGGTAGAAGAGACATGAAAGGGCACTCAGGCTAGAAGGAACTGAGCCAAAGATACAAGACACAAATCTGTTTTTAAAAAAATGAATGAAATATTTGAGATCAAAATGTTTTGGTGTGGTTGAAATATAAGCTTTATGGTGGGTAGGAAATAAGATAGAAAAGGTAGGTTTTGAGCTAAGTTACAGAAACTTTGTAAGGCATGCTACAGAGATCAGTTGTGCTTATGGGTTTTTTTTCCCCTATGAACTACGGAAAAATACGTCAATTTTTTTTTTTTTTTGGCCTAATTTTCAGGGTGTAAAGTTTTTGTGTAGACGAGTATGGTCAAGTCAGACTTAGGTTTCACAAAATAACTTTCACAGCTGTATGAATAATGAAGAGGAGAGATAAGATAGGCTGGTAATAGGAAGTCAAGTAAGAAAGACGTTGAAATAGCTCAACCATGCCTGGGCTGGTTTAGGGTACTTGATTTAGGGAAGAGAAAGTAAAAAGCAGGAATAGATTTCAACATTTTATTTCTACTTTAATCTTCTAGTCATAATAGAAACAAGACATTTTATCAGTCATTTTTTACTCATAATACACAGTAGATTATAATTAGTTGATTTTTTTCATTAGATAATAATATATTTAGTTCACCTGAAGATGACATGGTTGTTGCCCCAGTCACCCATGTATCCGTCACATTAGATGGGATTCCTGAAGTGATGGAAACACAACAGGTACAAGAAAAATATGCAGACTCACCGGGAGCATCATCACCAGAACAGCCTAAGAGAAAGAAAGGTAGGTGGTTACTTCATTTAGGGCACACAGTCAAGTCTTGATGTGAAGTCTAGGTACCATTTTTATTCTACGTAGTTCATTTCTGCAGCAGTTAAAACTTACATAAGCAAAACACTGAAGGCACAAAATGGAAATTACAGGGTATTTCTTGGCCACACATAGAGATTCATGCCTGTAATTCCAGCACTTTAGGAGGCCAAGATGGGAAGATTGCTTGAGGCCAGGAGTTTGAGACCTGCTTGGGCAGCAAAGCAAGACCTCATCTCTACAAAAAATGTAAAAAAATCAGCTGGGCACACACACACAAAAAGACAAAAATTTTTAAAAAATAACTGGGCACAGTGGGTACCTGTAGTCCTAGATATTTCGGAGGCCAAGATGGGAGGATATCCCTTGAGCTCAGGAATTCCAGGTTTCAGCCAACTGAGATCATGCCACTGCATTCCAGCCTGGGCAACAGGGTGAGACTCTATCTCTAAGAAATAAAAATAAATAAATGAATAAACAAACAAGAAAAAGAGGTGTTTCTTCATAGTAGAGTCATTTCTTTGAAAAAATTATTGGGCCAGGCGTGGTGGCTCAAACCTGTAATCGCAGCACTTTGGGAGGCAAAGGTGAGTGGATTACTTGAGGTCAGGAGTTGGAGACCAGCCTGGCCAACATGGTGAAACCCCATCTCTACTAAAAATACAAAAAATAGCTGGGCATGATGGCACATGCCTGTACTTCCAGCTACTTGGGAAGATAAGGCAGGAGAATCACTTGAACCCAGGAGACAGAGGTTGCAGTGAGCTGGGACCACACCATTGCACTCTAGCCTGGGCAACAAGAGTGAAACTCTGTCTCAAAAAAAAATTTTTTTTAATTAAATTATTTTATACTTTTAAAAGATTTGATCTATCTTACAGAAAAGGGATTTTCCAACTTTTTAAAGCCTCAAATTGTTATCCAAATCATCTTATCCAAGCTCATAAAGAGCTTGAGGGTAAGGGCTAGTTGGCTTCCTCCCAGGGGGTATAGTTTAGTCTGTACTGGTGATTCCAGCATAAGACTCCAGTTGGAAACATACAATAGGTTGGAAATCAGCTGGTAAGTAATTGAAGAGGAATATGTTAGGATGTATTGAATGGGAATTTTTAACTTTTTGCCCGTTAGGACCACCACACTTGCATTCTAAAGTCTGACACCTTTTCCATTTTATTGCCTTCTGATTCTATTCATGCTTGTTTAGTATTTTGAGTATAATATCTTGGTTAGTAGCATCACCACCCACCCAGAAACCTAAGTTCATGTGAAAGTAAGGGAAATTCCAAGAGTCGAAAATGAAGAGGAAAATAAAAACATTAAACATGAGCCGAGACTGCGGCAGCTCAGAAGGACTGAGAAGGATATGCCTAGGGGCTTGGTTTTATTGCCAGTGTTGAGGCAGAAGCTTAGGTGTTGGGCTATGCAAGATGGAGTACTGGACAGAGACCTCAGCATGTAACTGGGACCCTTGAAGGGATATACCCTCTTAGGGGAAAAAGTCCACCTATTGGCAGAGACGGATGTCAAGGAAGCTTAGGTCCCATTCAGCCAGGGCTCTGAGTGGAGAAATTCTGGTTTAACTTCTTTTGAGTAAATACTTAGTAGCGGAATGGCTGGATCACATGTTAAGTATACATTAAATATTTTTCAGAAACTGACTGCTTTCCAAATTTTCTTTTCTCCATGTATTAAGGTGGGGCAATCATAGGACTTGCCTCATTTATTTCCTGTCTCTCGGGGGTGACTGACTTTTGTTGACCGATGTCCAATTTCTTCAGTACCATTGTTTCATAATTTTTCTGTGTTTTCAATTGTTCAGGTGGGAGTATAAATCTTATGTTCTGTTATTCTCTCTTGACCAGAAGAGGAAGTTCCCACCTAGTCTTTTTTAATAGCCTTATTCTTTGACCATGTTTTTTGTTCTTCTGCTTTAAAAACTCTAATACTCACATAAAGTTTATATTTAATAATTCTGTTATATTTGATTCTTAGAGAATACTAGGGTTTCCAATGTCTGCTGCTTCTCACTCAGAAAGTGTCTTCCTCATGTATTCTGTGATCCCAAAATGTTAGTTCACCTTCAACATGGCTTTATCAGAGAAAAAAACTGAAAATCCGCTTCTCCTACCTTAAAAAGCTTGTATAATCAATAGGTCTACAAAGCTGTATGGCTTATTTTTGGAGCCCAAGTTCTAACAATGTCAAGAGCATTCTTCAAAAGTTTAAGAAAGCACTATCAATGTGGGTACTTCAAAATCAAGCTGTTATATATTTTAAATTAATTTCATCTTTACAGGTATAAACAGAGGTGTCAGAGGTATCATTTCTTACATAAATGTGTTTATGGTTTAACCTGCATTAATGTCCAAGTTTTATTAAAGTTGTTTTCCTTTTAGTAAACAGGATTTTAAGAAACCAGTATATGTGACTCATATATAAAACATTTAGCACTTGAAATTTAGGATAAATGACAAAACAGCTAAATTATCCATTTTCTCTCACTTTTGAAGGCAAATATTTATGCAGAGCTGTTTTTATTTCAGGGAGAAAAACTAAACCACCACGACCAGATTCCCCAGCCACTACACCAAATATATCTGTAAAGAAGAAAAACAAAGATGGAAAGGGTAAGTGCTATTGTGATTTCTGTGTAATTTAGGTCAAATAACAGATTGCTTTGTAGTGTCTGCCTATTATAACTAGAAACCACACGCTTTCTGATCTACTGAAATGGATCTTATTGCTGCCACATGCTTATTAGATACATTTGCCAAATTCTGTAAAGAAACTGATAATAAAATAGACCAAGAAGCTCATTTGAGTGATTTTCACTTACCTGTCAACATAATCTATTCATTTACTAATGAGACTCTTGAAAGAGTTTAACCAGGTTAGATTTTCAGTTCACAGACCCTTTAATATGCTGTCTTGAAATTCTAGCATTTTTGTAACTGTTGCCCGAATTTGAAGAAAACTTATGGCTGACCTTTATATGAAGTATAAAGAGAGCAACTGTTGAAAGGTTTCATACAAACTCTCATGTTTCTTCTATATGATGGTTCGCAAAGAGACAGAAAAAAATGATCTCAGAGTACTTTCTCCTGAATCATCACAAATCTTATGACAAGATTGCTTTGTTCACACATTTTATATGGGACTAATAAAAAGATCTTTTTTAGATGTTAAGAATTATGACCATTGGCCAGGCGCGGTGGCTCAAGCCTGTAATCCCAGCACTTTGGGAGGCCGAGGCGGGTGGATCACGAGGTCAAGAGATCGAGACCATCCTGGTCAACATGGTGAAACCCCGTCTCTACTAAAAATACAAAAAATTAGCTGGGCGTGGTGGCACGTGCCTGTAATCCCAGCTACTCAGGAGGCTGAGGCAGGAGAATTGCCTGAACCCAGGAGGTGGAGGTTGCGGTGAGCCGAGATCGCGCCATTGCACTCCAGCCTGGGTAACAAGAGCGAAACTCCGTCTCAAAAAAAAAAAAAAAAAGAATTATGACCATTGTATCACTCATGCTAACTAAATTATGTCACCAATACTAAAATATGTAATATTTTTATATAAATATGAATGGTACTTCTAAGACTTTCAGTTGTCTTTTATTGTGTTCTTTTAAATGAAAGTTTGGTCATTTAGAAAGAAATTGTTTTTGTTTCAGGAAACACAATTTATCTTTGGGAGTTTTTACTGGCGCTGCTCCAGGACAAGGCTACTTGTCCTAAATACATCAAATGGACCCAGCGTGAGAAAGGCATTTTTAAATTGGTGGATTCTAAAGCAGTGTCCAGGTTGTGGGGGAAGCACAAAAACAAACCTGATATGAATTATGAAACCATGGGAAGAGCACTCAGGTATTTGAAGTTTTGGTATTTTATTGTGTTAAGAATATCGTTTCCTAAATACTAGAAAAATATATCAAGGTTCAAGTCTGCAAGTACCAATAGTGGTAATGCAAGTACGTAATAAGAGGGTACATTTTCAGCCAGGCACAGTGGCTCACACCTATAATGCCAGCACTTTGGGAGGCTGAGGCCGGTGGATTGCTTGAGTCCAGGAGTTTAAGACCAGCCTGGGCAATGTGGCAAAACCCTGTCTCTACTAAAAATACAAAAAATTAGCCAGGCATGGTGGCGTGCACCTGTGGTCCCAGCTACTCGGCCTGCTGAGGTGGGAGAATCACTTGAACCCAGGGTTTAAGGCTGCAATGATTGAGATTTCGCCACTGAACTCCAGCTTGAGCAACCAGAGTGAGACCCTGTCTCAAAAAAAAAAAAAAAAGAGGTTACATTTTCAAACATGAACTTCAGGTATGATATGTTAGTTATTATGGTAGAATAAATTAGTGCATCAAGACTACTACTAGACATCGTGAAAATTTTGAGCAAGAGTACCATTTTATTGTTAAGCTCACTTTTAGTTTGTTTTTCGGTGACTCTGTCATTTATTGTTTAAGATATGCATGTATTTCAGAAAGACTTATTAAAAATAAGAATGATCGGAGTGACTTTTATGGTGTGTATATATATAAAAATAGATAGATATAGGTATAAAATTTGGCAGTCTTAAACTAGAACCCTTTACAGTTTTTTGTTTTTTTTAACATACTTTTTTAGGTTACTGATTTTATTAAACTGGATGACAAAAGTTGGGTCACTTCTATTGCACATCATTAAATTTTACACTCAAGTCAATTAAATTTACTGAATCAAATTTAAAATGATAAATTTGCCAATTTAAATTTACTGAACCAAATTTAAAATGATAAATTTGCCAATTTAAATTTACTGAATCAAATTTAAACTGATAGGATTTGCCTAGTAGGAACATTTCTAGGAAGCTGTGGAGGAGAAACCATTTCTTGAGGTTTTTCATAGTTTTGATTATCCTGACAAGTTAGCAGAAAGGGGCCAACTGTGGTGGCTTGCCTTCTATAATCCCAGCATTTTGGGAGGCTGAGAAGGGAGGATTGTTTGAGCCTAGAAAGTTCCAGACCAGCCTGGGCAACATGCCAAAATCTAGTCTCTACAAAAAAATGCAGAAATTAGCCACATGTGGTAGCATGCGCCTGTGGACCCAGCTACTCAGGAGGCTGAGGTGGAAAGATCACTTAAAACTAGGAATTCAAGGCTGCAGTGAGCCATGATCATACCTCTGCACTCCAGCCTGGGCAGCAGAGCAAGACTCTGTCTCTAAACAATTAAGTAAGTAAGTTAGCAGAAAGACAGAGGAAGAAAAGTGAAAGACCAGAAGTTTCCAAATACTCTATCAGCAGTCCCCCAGTCAGCGTTAGTTTTAGATTTAGTTGGTAATAAGGACTTCTCTGTTCATAAATGTATGTGTATCTTATGTGAAATAAATGCCCTTTATTTAGAAATTCTTTTCTCATTAGTTTGATTCCAACTTTAAAGTTTTGTTTATGATTAGGGAAATTTGATTTTGTTGAATATTATTTTAATTGATGTTTGATTGAATAAAATATTGATGAAATTGTCTGCTTTGAATAGGTACTATTACCAAAGGGGTATTCTGGCAAAAGTGGAAGGTCAGCGCTTGGTGTATCAGTTTAAAGAAATGCCAAAAGATCTTATATATATAAATGATGAGGATCCAAGTTCCAGCATAGAGTCTTCAGATCCATCACTATCTTCAACAACCACTTCAAGTAGGAGTCAAGCCAGCCGGTCGAGAGTATCTTCAAGTCCAGGGGTAAAAGGAGGAGCCACTACAGTTCTAAAACCAGGGAATTCTAAAGCTGCAAAACCCAAAGATCCTGTGGAAGTTGCACAGCCATCAGAAGTTTTGAGGACAGTGCAGCCCACACAGGCTCCGTATCCTACCCAGCTCTTCCGGACTGTTCATGTAGTACAGCCAGTACAGGCTGTCCCAGAGGGAGAAGCAGCTAGAACCAGTAACGTGCAGGATGAAACTATAAATTCTTCCGTTCAGAGTATTAGGTGAGAAAACCAAACTACTAATCTTCAATATGTTTCTGACCAGAGGCATTATATGTTAAGTGGATCAAAATTCAGAAATGAAAACAGAAGTAGATAAATTTCAAGATAGAGCTCTTGGTTCCCAGATTTTTTAGGGGCAGTATATATTATGTCAGTCCTCTGATTACGCCACTAGTCCCTTATATTTACATTTTGACATTATTCTGTCAGTTTAAGTATAGTTCACTGTACCTTGGTATAACTGGATTGATCCATATAAGAAATTATCTGATGTGAGAAAATCCAGGGAATGGTTTCAAATCTTTAATCAAGCCAAGTCAGAAGCACCAAAATTTCAACATAGGACATTCAGAGTGCACAGAGTTCCAAGCTATAAACATTATTCCTTGGAAGATCCTATCTTGGAACAATTCTACAGTTCAAACAGAAGGGGAGGCCAAGAATCGAAGGTCCTCTTTTTCAGGCTTTTAGAGTGGCAATGGCAGAAGGTGGAAAAGTAGTTTGTAGTTTTTTTTTTTTTTTTTTTTTTTTTTTTTTTTTTTAGTTAAATCAGATTTGCTTCAGCAAAAGATGCTAAACAACAAATTAACTGAGAGAACCTGTCTTCCTTAGACTGATCATCTGAAAAAATTTAGGACTAGTCTCAGCTGATTTAGAATGGGGCTGTGGGAGGAAGGCAGAAAATTATATGGATATTTGTAGCATTTTTCTGTTTATACTGTCATGAATTTCTAGAACATGAATTATAAAATCTAGCAGGCCTTTCAAAGCCAACAAAAATTATTATTTGATTACTTTTATTAGCAAAATTTAGTCTTACATTTTTATATTCCAGAATATAAATGTGGAGTTGTTGTTCAATTGATCTTGACGTAAGATAACATTGCCTAGAATCAAGACAGACGACTTAGATGATTCAGTCTTCTTTGTATAGTCAATTTAAAATGTTTGACCTTGGGAAAATACAGTTCTCTTAAATCTTCAGTTGATTTGCAATGAGTGCAAAGATGACTTTTAAATTTTTAATTGGGTGATACATCTTTAACTGTTATTAAAGGAGTGTATCTTGAGTAGCCCTTATCTAAAATGCCTGGGACCAGGAATATTTTGGATTTCGAATATTTTCAGATTTTAAATCATTGCATTATACTTACCTGGCACAGTGTCCCAATCCAAAAATCTTGAGATCCAAAATGCTCCAGTGTGCATTTCCTTTCAGCATCAAATTGGCACTCAAAAAGTTTCATATTTTGGAACATCTTGGATTTCAGATTTTCAGATTTGGGATACTCAGTGGGTACTTATTTAACTCTTACTGGCTGTATTCTCCCCTTAATGTTTTATATTTCTCTAGGCCCTATGGGTTACACGTGATGACTGAGTGTCTAGTTGGGAGTGGGTGGTTTCTCCCTTTGGTTTCTAGGCTGTTTGTTGTTTGCATTTGTGTTGGTAGGAGACCTACAATGACCACAGCTGATTCTATGGAATTTTTTAGCATCTGTATTCAAAATATTCTTTTTAGACTGTGAGAATAAAATAAAAACAAAAAACCTCTAGCTTTGAAAGATACTAAATTGTAGATATTGTATTAGATGTCATATTACTCTGAGTATCAGTTATCTGCATAATACTCTACATTAGCCTTGGGTGGTTATCTAAGTTTGGTACTCCATATCCTGCTTCAATGGGCAAGCTCTAGTCATCCTGTATCTGTATTCCCACTTCTTTTGAACCTCTCCTGAATTGCGCTGGGTCTTTGTTTCATCTTTCCATCAAGCCAATTTGTTTTTCTCCTCTACGATTTTATTTCTCACATATGAGAAATATAACTAACTTTCAAAATGTAGCTTTAATAATTTAGTGGTAATATTTAATGCTTGGTTTATGGAGACTAATTTAGCTGTTAGCTGTTTGAAATAGCAGCAAATATCTTTCATTAAATAACTTTACAGAATTCAGAGGAAACAGTTGACATCCAGATGCTGAGATTTTTCAATGGCATTTTTTATACTATGTTAACAATAACCATAACTATAAATTTCAGAGCTGTGAACTTCTAAAATTAGATTGACTCATAATATCATTTGTGTAACTTTGTCTTTCTTCAATGAGTGGGATTAACAACCTACATAAACTAGATTTTGCATTAAAGCATTTTATATTAAACTGTAGCTTTATAACCAAAATTTGTAAAAATTATTTGAACCTGGAAAACTGCTGAAACATGTTTTTTCTATTTATTTTTCCAAAACTTAGCCATATTTTCTCTGCCAGCCCAAGAACGCTCACAGGCTAATTATAATCATAGCTTGTTTCACATAAATATGACATGAGGCCGGGCATAGTGGCTCACGCCTGTAATCCAAGCACTTTGGAGGCCAAGGCAGGCAGATCACCTGAGGTCAGGAGTTCAAGACCAGCCTGACCGACATGCTGAAAACCCGTCTTTCTAAAAAAAAATAAAATAAAATAAATAAATAAAATATGACATGAAATGTGAGCTAGTAAAATTCTAAGAATTCTGTCACATGTTTGCCGGGCGCGGTGGCTCAAGCCTGTAATCCCAGCACTTTGGGAGGCCGAGGCGGGTGGATCACGAGGTCGAGAGATCGAGACCATCCTGGTCAACATGTTGAAACCCCGTCTCTAATAAAAATACAAAAAATTAGCTGGACATGGTGGCGCGTGCCTGTAATCCCAGCTACTCAGGAGGCTGAGGCAGGAGAATTGCCTGAGCCCAGGAGGCGGAGGTTGCGGTGAGCCGAGATCGCACCATTGCACTCCAACCTGGGTAACAAGAGCGAAACTCTGTCTAACAAAAAAAAAAAAAAAAAAAAAAAAAAGAATTCTGTCACATGTTTAAGACTGAGGTGGGTTTTTTGTTTTCATTAATTAAGGATTTTCCCCCTTTATATGTAAAAACAGGTTGGTAAGTTTGGTAATTAGTGTGGATGAGTCTGTTGATAACATTGTCTCTCAAATATTAAACTAGTAGGCTGGGCACAGTGGCTCACGCCTATAATCTCAGCACTTGGGAGGCCGAAGTGGGTGGATCACCTGAGGTCAGGACTTTGAGACCAGCCTGACCAACATGGCAAAACCCCATCTCAATTAAAAATACAAAAATCAGCCAGGCATGGTGGCACATGCCTGTAATCCCAGCTACTTGGGAGGCTGGCAGGAGAATGGCTTGAACCCGGGAAGTGGAGGTTGCAGTTAGCCGAGATCATCACACCACTGCACTCCAGCCCGGGCAACAAGAGTAAAACTCCATCTTAAAAAAAAAAAAAAAAAAAGGAATGAATCAAACAGATTTGCTTTCAAATTCCTAATTTTAAGAAGTTTATGCAAACTTCCTTGCCGAACATTTTAATATCCTTCTCCTTCCCCAACAAAATTAGCTCCTCATTTGTGTTAATGTGGCACTATGTACAGACCTTTCTTCCATAGCACTCAGCAGATGGTATCATAGTGAATGGCCTGAGAGTTTTGTGTTAGGCATCTCTGTATGTAATGTTTAATACAGAGTCTGGCACGACGTTGGTCATGTGGTGTTGAAAATATGGGAAGTAGTATTTTGAAACGTATAACTGTATTTTGTCAAATGACTTTCAAGTGTAAAGTTTTAAATGCCATAGAATATGCTAATTGTCTCACTTTAATTTCATAATCTTAATAGGACTATACAGGCTCCAACCCAAGTTCCAGTGGTTGTGTCTCCTAGAAATCAGCAGTTGCATACAGTAACACTCCAGACAGTGCCACTGACAACAGTGATAGCCAGCACAGATCCATCAGCAGGTACTGGATCTCAGAAGTTTATTTTACAAGCCATTCCATCATCACAGCCCATGACAGTACTGAAAGAAAATGTCATGCTGCAGTCACAAAAGTCAGGCTCTCCTCCTTCAATTGTCTTGGGCCCTGCCCAGGTACAGCAAGTCCTTACTAGCAATGTTCAGACCATTTGCAATGGAACCGTCAGTATGGCTTCATCTCCATCCTTCAGTGCTACTGCACCTGTGGTGACCTTTTCTCCTCGAAGTTCACAGCTGGTTGCTCACCCACCTGGCACTGTAATCACTTCAGTTATCAAAACTCAAGAAACAAAAACTCTTACACAGGAAGTAGAGAAAAAGGAGTCTGAAGATCATTTAAAAGAGGACACTGAGAAAACGGAGCAGCAGCCACAGCCTTATGTGATGGTAGTGTCCAGTTCTAATGGATTTACTTCTCAGGTAGCTATGAAACAAAATGAACTGCTGGAACCCAACTCTTTTTAGTTAATCTACCAAAGCTTAAGAATAATTGTTTTTTAATTGAACATTTCAGTTGTATGCAAACTGATTGATTCTAAGATAAATTCTACTGAGGTTCCTACTTTTATCATTGTTAATTTTGACTTTAGTAGATGAGGGAGGAAAACTCAAGTGTTTCTGTTAGTTCTCTAAATGTTTCAGAATTCAATCGTGAAGGAACAGGCATTTTACACTATGAAGACATTCTTTTGAGATCTTTTTTCAGTTATATCATAAGCATTTTTAAAGTTTCTTTTCTAATTTTACATTGTATTAGGTTTTCTGATTCTTTTGTAAATACAGAACTTAAATATAAGGCAACAGGAAATTTATATAGGAACTATTTTCATTCCACTTTTATAAGTCTTGACTCTTTCAAATGCAAAAAACCTATTTTATGCTTTGTTAAAATTATGATGTCACTTAGACTGACTTTAGTTTGCTACACTATGTGAACGATGAATATGTGAAATGACATGAAAAATTGGAGGTGCCGCTGGTATGACTGACCTGTTGTAGAAGGAGGATAGTGTCAAAGCATCAGCCTATGAATGGCACTCCCACTAACCAGTTATGTCACCTTGACCTTTTGGGGCCTTAGTTCTTCTCATAAAAGGAAGAGATGTATTGGACTAGAGTAGACGATCTCCACTTTCTCTTCTAGTTCTAATTTTTTAAATTCTAATACCTATATTTTCAAGTTATGTCAATTAAAAAATCAGGTTATTTTCTAATGTAAAAATAGCTAAAATGTTGCTGAAAAATAAGTGGCTGAACAAAATTTATTCATCTGTTTTGGGTAAGATCAGCCATAAATTATTCCTAAATAGTTTGTTTACTAACTCTAGACCACTGTGCCATTTGCAGTTCATTAGCAAACTTACATTGCTAAGTGCTAAACAGAATACTGCTATTTTGAGAGAGTCAAGGCTCTTAAGGGCCAAGAAAGCAACTTGAGCCTTGGGCTAATCTGGCTGAGTAGTCAATTATAAAAGCATAATTGCTTTATATGTTGGATTGTTTTTTTATTGGGGGTGGATTTGGGGGGGGTTGCATACAAAGATAACATATATATCCAAGTTTCTGAAATGAGATGTTTTTACATTACTTTTTCAACTGTAGATAATGTACATTTAATGTCACAAGAAAAATTGTCTTCTGCAAATTTTCTAGCATAACAAATTTTTGTAGATGAAAAAATTATGTTTAGAGGTCTAATGTTATGTTTTCATATTACAGAGTGAATTTGTATTTAAACAAAAATTTAAATTTTGGAATCCTCTAAACATTTTTGTATCTTTAATTGGTTTATTATTAAATAAATCATGTAAAAATTCTCAGTGTTTCTGTTTTCAGGCGAAAGTTTCTTGAAAGAATAAGTGTACAGAGCATATTGCTAGCATTACTGAATGTTTTATAAATAAACTCCATTAGTCAGAAAGGATATCATCCTTTCACTTTTCCTTTCTGTCTGGCCAAATGGCAGTTTCTAATTATCAAACAATGGATTACCAAGTTGCATAAATTAGAAATAGAAAACAATAAAATATTCCCAGCAATAATATTAAACACACTTTTGTTTTTATTTTTATTTATTATTTTTGTATGTGTGTGACGGAGTCTCAGTTCTGTCGCCCAGGCTGGAGTGCAGTGGCTCGATCTTGGCTCACTGCAACCTCCGCCTCCCCGGTTCAAGCTTCTCCTGCCTCACCCTTCCTAGTAGCTGGGATTACAGACACCCACTACCATGCCCAGCTAATTTTTTGTGTTTTTAGTAGAGATGGGCTTTCACCCTGTTGGCCAGGCTGGTCTCTAATTCTTGATTACAGGCATGAGCCACTGCACCCTGCCTAAACAGACTTTTGAAAACCAGTTTTCTAGTTAGAAACTAGGTCAGTAAATAGTTAAACTTGGGAAACTATAAAAATGTAAGAAAATTAAAATATCTATAATCCAATAGCCCTATATCCAGAAGTAACTTTCACTTACTCATTTCTTCATGTTTGTGAATATTCTTCCAAAATGTGATTTTAAAGGCCGTATAACATTATATTAGTATACCAAAATCCAGTTAAATAAAACCTTTTAACTAGATAAGTTAGTTTTGTGGTTTTTCACCACATAGTGACTATCAGTGTCTCATTTCATTTTCTTAGTTGCTGCTATAACAATACCTGAGACTGGATAATTTTTTTTGTTTGTTTCTTTGTTTTTTTTGAGACAGAGTCTCGCTCTGTCACCCAGGCTCACTGCAACCTCCGCCTCCCGAGTTCAAGTGATTCTCCTGCCTCAGGCTCCTAAGTAGCTGGAATTACAGGCGTCTGCCACCACACCCAGCTAATTTTTTGCATTTTAATAGAGACAAGGTTTCACCGTATTGGCCAGGCTGGTTTCAAACTCCTGACCTTTTGATCTGCCCACCTCTGCCTCCCTAAGTGCTGGGATTACAAGTGTGAGCCACCTTGCCCAGCCAAGACTGGCTAATTTGTATTGAACAGAAATTCAGTTGCCGACAGATCTGGAGTCTGTGAAGTCCAATAGCAATGCACCAGCAGGTTTGGCGATTTTCATTCCAAACAGTGCTTGAACACTGTGTCCTCTGGAGGGAAAGAACACTTTGTCTTCAAAGGCAAAGACAGAAAAGCAAAGCGAGCCCCCCCCCCAACCCCTTCCACTTCCAAAAGCCTTTTTATTTATTTATTTATTTATTTACTTAATTTATTTTTGAGAGAGAGTTTCACTCTTGTTGCCCAGGCTAGAGTGCACTGGCTCAATGCAGTGCAACCTCTGCCTCCGGAGTTCAAATGGAGTTCAAGTGGTTCTCCTGCCTCAGCCTCTTGAGTAGCTGGGATTACAGGCATGTACCACCATGCCTGGCTAATTTTGTATTTTTAGTAGAGATGGGGTTTCTCCATGTTGGTCAGTCTGGTCTTGAACTCCCAACCTCAGGTAATCCACCTGCCTCAGCCTCCCAAAGTGCTAGGATTACAGGCATGAGACTTTTTATTAAGGCGTTAAACCAATCCATGAAGGTGGGGCCCTCCTGGCCTAATCACCTCTTACGAGGCCCCACCTCCCAATACCTTTACTTTGGCAATTAAATTTCAACATGAGTTTTGGAGGGAACAAACGTTCCAGCCATAGCATACAGTACATAATGGTTGTTAAAAATTAAGGATCTTACACTATTTTTGAATCAGTTATCCTTATCATAGGGGATACCAGATAAACTTTTTATTTATAACAATTAGTAACACCATTTAAATTGTATGTAGTTTTTTAGTTTTTGTTTTTGTTTTTGTTTTTTTACTTTAAAAGGTATAGCATAAGAATTTTTAGGCTGGGCATGGTGGCTCACACCTGTAATCCCAGTACTTTGGGAGCCCTAGGTGGGTGAATCACAAGGTCAGGAGACCAGCCTGGCCAACATAGTGAAACCGCATCTCTACTAAAAATTCACCAGGCATGGTGGCAGGCGCCTCTAATTCCAGCTACTTGGGAGCTGAGACAGGAGAATCATTTGAAGCCAGGAGGCAGAGGTTGCAGTCAGCCAAGACCACGTCACTGCACTCCAGCCTGGGCAACAGAGTGAGACTCCATCTCAAAAATAATAATAAAGAATTTTTAGAGACACTATTATTTAAAGTTATTGACATAGTGTACAATTACCATGAACACTGAAATTTTAAAGAGGGAAAAGAAGTCCGGGTGCCTTGGCTGTCACCTGTCATCTCAGCAATTTGGGAGGCCGAGGAGGGAGGATCACTTGAGCCCAGGAGTTTAAGACCAGCCTCGGCAACATAGTGAGATGTCATCTCTACAAAAATTTTAAAAATTAACCAAGTGTGGTGATGCACTCCTGTGATCTCAGCTACTTGGTAGGCTGAGGCAGGAGGATCACTTGAGGCAGGGAGATGGAGGCTGCAATGAGCCATGATTGTGCCACGACACTCCAGTCTAGTTGACAGAGTGAGATGCTATGTCCAAAAAAAAAGAAAGGAAGAAAGTCATGTAGTAAGAACTTTAAAACTTCAAAGTCTTAATTAGTATTTTGGTCCAGAATCACTGGAACTAAGTACCAGCTACTAAGGAACCTATTTTTCCCCATTAGAATGTCATGTGTCCATATATTCCTTTTTTATATCTATAGCTACCATCCTAGTTTTAGTCTTTTCTGTGTTATTCTTGCCACAGTTTATTCATTTAAACAATATATGAGTGTGTATTCTAGGCCAGGCAGTATTCTCTGTGCTGGAGATAAGTCAATGAACAAAACAGGCTGTAGCCTCTCAAGTGACTTCCTGCTTGTGAACTCTTAGTTTATCAATATGAACTGTTTTTACTGACACTTCTGACATCAAAAGCGTGGGATTTTTTTTCACACCCACACCCAGTTCTGACACCAACCGGGTGTCCTTGTCCTACAATTCAGTTCAATTCTGACCCTAACCACTTGGAGTTAGCACAGACGCCACAGGTTAAGGGGCTTAGTCTCTTAAAACTGTCCCTCCTTCAGATGTCACCTGCACGTTCCAGGTTTCCACTTGTACTTTTGACCAACTGGCTATAAATCAGGGGTTCCCATGAACCCCAATCTGCTCAGGTTGGATAATTTGCTAGAAGAGCAAACAAAACTCAGGGAACCAGTTTACTGGATTACATTCTTGTCAGTTTATTATAAAGAATACAACTCATCAACAGCCAAATGAAAGAGATGCAGAAGTAACAGTGAGAGAGGAAGTGAACAGAGCTGCTCTCCCCTCTCACAAGGTGCCACCCTCCGAGCACCTCCAAGTGTTTACCAACCCAGATGGTCTCCAAACACCATTTAAGAGTTTCTTAATTCAGCTTTTATTACGTAGGCATGCCTGATTAAATCATTGGCCACTGGTGACTGAACTCAATCTCCACACCCTCTCTACTCCCTGGGGGTGGGACTGACAGTTCCAACTCTAATTACGTGGTTGCTTCCTCTGGAAATCATTTCCCATCCTGAAACTATCTGGGAACCCATGAAGTGTCCACCTTATTAGCATAAACTCAGGTATGGTTGAAAGGGCCTTGGTATGTAACAAAAGATGCTCCTATCACCCCTTCTAAATGCCAAGGGTTTTAGAAGCTGTGTCAGGAATTAGGGATAAAAAGCAAAACAAATGTCTTTATCTTACCACAATCATGCACCTACTTACAGAATTGTCCTTCTAAAGTATTCCTTGGCAGCTTGGGCAACCTAGTGAGACCCCATCTCCAGAAAAAGTAAAAATATTTGCAGTGCATGGTGGCAAGAGCCTGTAGTCCCAGCTATTTGGGAGGCTGAAGTTGGAGATCTCTTGAGCCTGGGAGGTTGAGGTTGCCGTGAGCTGTGATTACACCACTCACTCCAGCCTGGGTGACAGAATGAGACCCTGTCTCAAAAAAATCAAATAAAAATATCCCTTGGGAATATATAATGTTCACATATGGAACATTATATATTCCATATGATATTCCAAAGAAAGATATTCCTTGATACCTTTCTACCTGTGGAATAAAATCCAAAATGCTTAACATTCAAATTCCTCCATCAAACTGGGTTCCTAGGCCAACTATTTCAGAGTTAATGTTACTCTTTTTTTTTTTTTCCTTCTTTGAGATAGTGCCTCGCTCTGTCACCCAGGCTGGAGTGCAGTGGCACAATCTTGGCTTGCTGCTACCACTGCCTCCTGGGGCTCAAGCAATCCTCTTACTTTAGCCTCCCGAGTAGCTGGGACCACAACATGCACCATGCCCAGCTAACTTTTTTTTTTTTTTTTTTTTTTTTGTATTTTTATAGAAAGAAGTTTTTGCCATGTTGCCTAGCCTGGTCTCCAACTCCTGGGCTCAAGGGATCTCCCAAAATGCTGATTACAGGTGTGAGCCCTTGCACCCTGCTGATGTTTTTTTTTTTTTTTTTTTTTTTTTTGAGACAGAGTTTCGCTCTTGTTACCCAGGCTGGAGTGCAATGGCACGATCTCGGCTCACCGCAGCCTCCGCCTCCTGGGTTCAGGCAATTCTCCTGTCTCAGCCTCCTGAGTAGCTGGGATTACAGGCACGTGCCACCATGCCCAGCTAATTTTTTGTATTTTTAGTAGAGACGGGGTTTCACTATGTTGGCCGGGATGGTCTCGATCTCTTGACCTCGTGATCCACCCGCCTCGGCCTCCCAAAGTGCTGGGATTACAGGCTTGAGCCACCGCGCCCGGCAATGCTGATGTTTTTCTTAAAATGCAAATTCTTTGGTTCCACCCCATACCTACTGAATTGGCATCTCATGGGAAACCTATACAATTTGCATTTTCAACTCGTATTGTTTATTTCTTGC